GGAGGGGTGGGCAGGGAGAAAAGTGCAACAATGAATGAATGAAAATCCAAAGTCTGTAAATTTTCATTACAATTAATAATAATAAAAAAAGTTTAAAATAAAAAAAGGTAACTCAGTCATGATATTTTCAATTGCTTCAGATGAATGTAAAATTTGGACAATGAATGAGGAAGATCAACGAAGAACTGAATCCTTTGAATAGTGGTGTTGGTGAAGAATACTGACTATATAAAAGACTCTGTTTGCCAAAACAACAAATTTGTCTTGGAAGAAGTGAAGGAAGACTGTTTCTCAGATGCAAGGAGAGTGAGACAACTTCTCACGTACTTTGGACATGTTCTCAGGAGTGGCTAGTCCCTGGAATAGTACTTTGTTCCTGGAGAAATAGAGAGTCCATGAAGGAGTGGAAGATCCTCAAGAAGTGACACAAAGGCTCCAACCATGGCCTTAAGCAAGTAGAGATTGTGAGGATAGCACAGAACCAAGCATTGTTTTGTTCTGTTCTGTGAGTTGAAGTTGACTTGAGGGGACCTAAAAACAAGTCCCTTATGCACTATTTATCCCATTATTAGCATCTTGCTTTAATGTAAGTTCTTAAAATTCATGAATACACATTCAAAAAAATTAATGAACTGCTACATATCAAAAGTTACAAATGGCTTGGTTTGTGGAAGACTGTAGTCTTCAGTGGGAGCCTAAACACCATGCTGAATCTCGACAACATTTGTGTTCTTTATGGTACTTCCTCAATGTTTGCTGGCCATTAAACTGCCAATGTGGCCAAGTTTAGACAGTCCTGGGCAAGCCCAGGGAGAAGCAGTGTGCCATTAGGAAGAGCAGATTAACTAGCATGCAGAAATGCTCACACCAAGGTCAGAGTTTTAATTATGTAATGAAAATATACAATCCTGTAAACATTTTTTTTTTCCTGTAAACGTTTTAACTAGCAATTATGTATGTATCATGGGGCTTCCCCAGCTTACGCAGTCAACATTTGACAATGATGAATTGATCTGTCACCAATCATGTCACAATTTCCTTTGTTCTCTATTATATACCATTAGTCAGTAGATTCCATCAGTCTCTGAAATGGATACATGCTCCATTATCTAGATGACTGTCTGAAGGCTCTCATCTATATGATTGTTGTTGTCCTGTTTAAGGCTTAATAGAAGTTTCTCTATAGAACATTTTTCAACCTGGAGTCTTTTCTCTTAGCACAGAGCTGATACTGATATGTTATTATTACCTGAAGTCCACAGTTAATATTTTTACTCATTTTAAAACATCTTTTCCTAAAATAAATAAGTTTAGAGGCATATTTAACCTAACAAAAGACTCACAATGACATAAGAAAAGCAGATAATAAAAACCCTTCTAAATATAAGTGGTATAAAGCTTACTTACCTTGTCCAGATTTCTCCACCATATCCATAATGCTGATGTCCTTTGCTCATGATACAAGAAGATTCACACTTTTTTTTGTGTTCCTCAGGGAGTGAAATAGGCATTATCCCACCATATTCCTTATCAGCACCCCAGGGAAGCCTACATTGTTGGATTGACTCTCTTAATTCCTGATACCTGGGTGGAGGGAAAGAGAAATTGCTAAGACAGTTTCAAAAAGAGCTAAAATTTCTCCAGCTTCATAATTATTTTTAGATCATTGTGAAAACACAGAATTCTCAATATAGGGTAGATCATGATATATACTGGCTACATGAGGCCTTTGAAAAAATTAAATTATTGAAGGTCTATCAATTTTTCTTTTTAAAAGAGTATAGTAGAGCTAAAAACAATTAAGAAACCTGCCAACAAGCTGCTGTCCTAACAGAGCAAGAGAACACTGCATAATTTAAAATAGAAAAAAATATGCGTCAGGACTATACTTTCTCCATAGATATTTCAATCTCTATGTCAAGCAAATCATTTGAGAGGCTGAAAGAGGAATATGGCAGCAAGATCAGAGGAAGACTCATAAAAACCTGTGTTATAAAGATGACACAACCTTGCTGAAAGTGAGGACATGAAATTCTTTTTATAAAAAAAAATATTATCAATTTCAATGAAAATTTACAGAGCTTTGGATTTCCATCCATTCATTGTTGCACTTTTCTCCCTCCCCTCCCCCCAGTACACTACCCTCTTGGAAAAGTAAAAGAAAAATCCTTTCATTGTTTTATAATCCCTCCCCTCAAGTCCATTCCACTATATAGCCTTCCCTCTGGATTCCCGTCATGACAAAAATACCTAATTACATATCCCTTTTAAAGAGTTTTCTCCCTCATCTCTTTCAATACAGTATACATTATTTAACCCATCTTTCTCCGTCTCTCCCCAACCTGTCCTGTTTTACAACAGTGGCACCATGCAGTATTTGTCCTTTTGTGACTGAGATACTTCACTCAGCATAATGTCCTCCAGGGTCACCCATTTTGAATCATATTGCATGAGTTCCTTGTTTTACAATGCAGCATAGTATTCCATTGTGTGAATATACCACAGCTTCACTATCTGGTTGTTTGTTGATGGACACTTAGGTTGTTTCCAACTCCTTGATATTGTGAACAAAGCCACGATAAACATGGGTGTGCACAGGACATGAAATTCTAATGCAGAAGACCAAAGACTATAGCCTTCAATATGTATTACATCTCAAAATCAAGAAAACAAAAATCCTCACCACTGGGACAATAGACAACATTGTGAAAGATGGAGTAAAGATTGAAATTGTCAATGATTTAATATTGCTTGAATCTACAATCAAACAATTGGTACCAACACTCAAGAGATCAAAAGACATGTTTCACTGGGAAAATCTGCTGTCAAGGACCTCTCCAAGGCAACAAAGTCTTAGTTTAAAGTACATTTGATTTAAGCCACAGTCTTTTCAATTCATCTTACGCATCTGAAAAAGTTGGACAGTGACAAGAATGGGAGAAGAATAATCAATGCCTTTGAGCTGTGGTGTTGGAGAAGAGTACTGAATATCCTATGGACTGCCAAAAGAACAACCAAATATGTTGTGGAGAAGGTGTAACTCAGGGTACTCCTCAGAAGCAAGGATGGTGAAACTTTGTCTCAGGTACTTGTTTGTTGGTGTTTATTTTTTTGTTTCATGTACTTTGAGCATGTTGTTAGGAGTAGCAGGTCCTTGCAAAAAGACAACAAAGAGAGGGAGATCGCAACACAATGGAGCAACACAGTGACTTGTGACAATGGGCTTGAGCATATCAAGGATGATGAAGATGACACAAGATAAGGCAAAGTTTGAGTCACAGTCGATTTTATAGCACTTAATAACAACAACATAGTAGAACAGAAATGAATTGAACCTAAGTTCTATCTAGAATTTCTGAAACAATGGTTCTCAAAGTGTGGTTAGTTCATAGCATCGAGTAGCATCAACATCTCTTTGGAGCTTGTTAGAAATTAAAATTCATGGTGTAACCACTATGGAAGGTGGTATGGCGCTTTCTCAAAAAGTTGCAAATAGAGATACCGTTTGACCAGCAATTCCACTACTGGGAATATACCCCAAAGAGACAATAACTGACATCCAAGCAGATATATGCACACCCATGTGTATTGTGGCTTTGTTCACAATAGCAAGGAGTTGGAAACAACCTAAGTGCCCATCAACAAACAACTGGATAGAGAAGCTGTGGTATATTCACACAATGGAATACTATGCTGCATTGAAAAACAAAGAACTTATGCAATATTATTCAAAATGGGTGACCCTGGAGGACATTATGCTGAGTGAAATATCTCAGTCACAAAAGGACAAATACTGTATGGTGCCACTGTTGTAAAGCAGGACTGACCTCGGGGTTGGGAGGAGACTGAGAAGGATGGGTTCAATAATGTATACTGCATTGAAAGAGATGAGGGAGAAAACTGTTTAAAAGGAAAAATTATTAGGTATTTTTGACATGACGGGAGTCCAGAGGGAAGGCTGTATAGTGGAGTGGACCTGTGGGGAGGGATTATGAAACAATGAAAGAATTTTTCTTTTACTTTTCCCAGAGGGTAGTGTACCGGGTGGGGGGAGCAGGGTTGGGAGGGGAGAAAAGTGCAACAACAATGAATGAATGGAAATCCAAAGTCTCTGTAAATTTTCATTGAAATTAATAATTTTAAAAAAACCCCACATTGGACGAAAGCCAAAAAAAAAAAAAGAAATTAAAATTCACAGGTTCCACCTTAGATCTAGAATCAGAATTTTTTGGGGGGTGGGGGGCTGTGTACTATGGTGGTAAGGGGCACTAATCTATTTTAACTAGTTAACTAGTCCCCCAGGTGATTCTTAGGCACTGTAAAAGTTTAGAAGCAATACCCTATTGAAATTACCTTCCCCAGAAATTAGGTCTCCAGTAGTCTCTTGTCTTATTCAGAGTGGAGAAATGGGCCTTTGCTCAGTTGGCAGGTAGGGTTTAGCTTTATCTTGAAACTAAATAGTGGAGATTATTTCCTCTGGTTTTAATAAGGAAGTGAAAAGCAGGGCCCTCCCTTGTTTATTCTGGTAACAGTGCCTCATCTCGGTGCCTGACACATACAAAGTGCTCCACAGAATCTGAATGACTGTATGCTGAGTGAATGAGCAAGGATTTGTGTCCACTGGAATGAAAGTCCCTGGCTAGGGAAAATATCTCTCAAAACAGAATATATCTGACAAAAGGTCTGCTCCCTAATCAGGAAAGAGTTAAATTACCTTTTTCACGGCCAGGTTATCTGCAGCAACCTTCCTTTTGAAAATACTAAAAAAATGTTGAGAAAGAAAAGAAAAACATCTTAAAAACCACTAATTGCGCCTTTCTACGAAGATGGTGTTGAAAGCGAAGAAGGACCCTACCAAAGGGGCCCTTTAGAGTAGTGAGAGAAGATCTTCACCCTGAAACCCACAGCGTCCCTTTTCAGCAGGAAGTAGCTAAGAGAATACGCCATCCCCTTTTCCTTATGGATCAGGGTGAAGTCTCTCTCAGGGAGGAGTGACAGGGAATGGCAAAGGACACACTGACAAAGGAGATTAATCAGAACTGACTTTGACAAGCACTGTGGCAACAGGACAATTAAAACAGACATTCGGATGGCGGGGGAAGGAGAACAAACTGGGGAGGAGGGTAGAGAGAATGGTGCAGCAATGAAGGAATGAAAACCAAATCCCTGTAAATGTTCATTAAAATTAATAAAATTTAATAATAAAAAAAAAAAAAAGAAAGCGAAGAAGGAAGCCCCTACTCCTCCCAAAACTGAAGCTGAAGCAAAGGTATTAAAGGCCAAGAAAGCAGTCCTGAAGGGCATCCACAGCCAAAAAAAAAAGAAGATCCACATGTCACCCACCTTTTGGTGGCCTAAGATGCTAAGATTCCGAAAGCAGCCCAAATACCCCTGGAAGAGCGCCCCCAAGAGAAACAAGCTTGACCACTAAGCCATCATCAAATTTCCCCTGATCAGTCAGCCATGAAGACTCTAGAAGATAACAACACACTTGTGTTCACTGTGGATGTCAAGGCCAACAAGCACCAAATTAAACAAACTGTAATGAAGCTCTATGACATTGATGTGGCTAAGGTCAACACTTTGATTAGGCCTGATGGAGAGAAGAAGGCCTATGTTCGACTTGCTCCTGACTATGATGCTTTGGATGTTGCCAACAAAATTGGGATCATCTAAACTGAGTCCAGCGGGCTAATTCTAAATAGAAATTTTTCTCACCAAAAACACCCCAAACAAATCACTAATTGCTAAAATAACAAAAAAAGAAGGAAACAAGAGGAAAAATAAATTTAGAGAGGAAGACTAAAGAATTGAGGTGTTGGTGAAGAATATTGTGAGCATATATGGACTGTCAAAAGGACAGGCAAAACTGTCTTGGAAAGTGTGGCCAAAAAAAAAAGAAAAAAGAAAGTGTGGCCAGCATGCTCCTTAAAAGCAGTAAGATGGTGAGGCTTTGTTCACATTATTTTGGGCACGTTACCTGTAGGGGCCAATCTGTGGATAAAGATATCATGCTGGGGAAGGCGGAGGGTCAGTGAGAGGGAGAAAGACCCTTGAGATGGACTAAGAGTGACTGCAACAAAGCAGAGATAGTGAGGGTGGTGACTGATGGAGCAGGGTGTCCATCATACCTGGGGTCACTATTTGTCACAGCTCCTAACCACAACTACAGCAGTGGGAAAGCAGACAGGCCATCTTTACCCTTACAGTAGTGCCAATTTTGGGAAATAAACACTTGTTTTAAGAGTCTTGCAGAGTTAAGGGGAGCCAAGTAAAAGTTCAAGCTTAAGTGTAAAGCTAAAGGTCACCATCTGCACAATAAGTCCATCCACCAAAACGCTATACTCTGACATTAAAGATTGGTGTTCTGTCAGAAGATTGGTGCTTTGCCCAAGTTTGCATGTCTTGACCTTGAATTTAAGTGGTCCTGAACTAGTTCCCTCAGAACCTGGCAGAATAGACAGGAATCCTCTCTGGAGGAAGAGTTCTTAGAGGAATCCGAGTGAAGAAGAGTTCTAACAAATTAGTAGGAGTTATCTAGGAAGAAAAGGGAGGCAAGGAGAGTACCATGAAAAAGGCCTAAA